GAGCCACACCTACACGGGCTACCTAGAGAGGCCTCCAGGGAATCACTGGTCATCATCCCTGGTGAGCCAAATTGAGACTGGGCAAACCTTACCTCTTTTCCTGACTTTCCATGTAATACACTACCCTCCCCACAGGGGATGCCCGAGTGCAGGCCGGGCATAGGTGTAGAGGGACCCCCCAAGGTCAAGGTCAAAATTGTTGGTATCCTAGAGAAAGTCTTGTCACAAGAAATACACCTTCAGTGGGTAATCGTGTTTTTTAACAAATGCTTTTCGGCGAATCAGTTTCAACTAATTTACATGAAAGTACAATATCAGAAACTGTAACCCGGATCATTATTTATGGTTCCGGGCTACTTTATCTTCGTAATAAAGTGGAGGAAAAACAATCTAGTGACAAAAATATTTGAAAATACTCTCAGCAATTGTAACCCGGAACGTTAATTATGTCCATAATTTTGGTTCCGGGCTACTTTATCTTCGTAATAAAGTAAAAAAAAACAGCATAGTAACAAAAGATGTTTGAAAATACACAGCAATTGTAACCCGGAACGTTAATTATGACCATAATTTTGGTTCCGGACTAATTTATCTTCGTAATAAAGTAAAAAAAAACAGCATAGTAACAAAAGATGTTTGAAAATACACAGCAATTGTAACCCGGAACGTTAATTATAACCATAATTTTGGTTCCGGACTAATTTATCTTCGTAATAAAGTAAAAAAAAAACAGCATTAGATAGTAACAAAAGATGTTTGAAAATACTCTCAGCAATTGTAACCCGGAACGTTAAATCTGACCATAATTTTGGTTCCGGGCTACTTTATCTTCGTAATAAAGCGGAAAAGAAACAACCTAGTAACAATGATATTTGAAAATACTCTCAGCAATTGTAACCCGGAATGTTAATTATGGCCATTGTAACCCGGAATGTTAATTATGACCATAATTTTAGTTCCGGGCTACTTTTTCTTTGTAATAAAGTGAAAAAGAAACAGCCTAGTAACAAAAGATGTTTGGAAACACACAGCAATTGTAACCCAGAACGTTATTTATGACCATAATTTTGGTTCCGGGCTACTTTATCTTTGTAATAAAGTGGAAAAGAAACAACCTAATGACAAAAATATTTGAAAATACTCTCAGCAAATGTAATCCGGAACGTTAATTCTGACAATAACTATGGTTCCGGGCTACTTTATCTTCGTTATAAAGTGGAACAGAAACAAATTAGTTACAACAATGTTTGAAAATACTTTATTATTATCTTTTTATAAGGTAGAATACAATGAACAAGAAACAAAAATGTTTGATATTACTCTCAGAAATTGTAACCTGGAATAATAATTATTTTTAATTTGCAAATGATAAAAAAAATGAATTAACAATTTTACATTTTTGCAGATGCTACAATTTAAACTCCTCAATTTTTTTTTTTTTGGGGGGGGGGGGGCTCAGATAATTAACTAACACTTTTTTTTTTTTTAAATTTTTGGAGCTGTTATAACCTCCTCTTTTTTTATATTTGGGGGAGGGGGCTGAGATTTTAAAAAAATGGAGGGGTGTTACATTATTGCAGCTTGCCTTCTGCCTACATGTATATATTTGAATTTTTTTCTCCACAAATTTTGATATTCATTAAACACAATGGTATGTATAAAACGATAAAGTTTTAAAGTGTCATAAAAATTGTCATTTTCTTATTGCGTTTTATGTACAAAAAACACCAAGGAATAAAAGATATTTCCAAAATATCTTAAGGAGTGGGTGGGTAGGACACGCATCGAAGTTACAGAAAAGTGCATTTCAAGGCCTTTAAAACATAAAAAAAAATCATTTAAAATTTGCTTAAACCTTGATTTTACTAAAATCTTTGAGCTAATTCAGTTTAGCTGACTGCTATTTTCACAATCAACATTGCTGGTCCTTACTTTTCATATTTCAACCTTGCTTTTTTTGTTCCTACGGTCTTTAAAGAACAACAACTGTAACATAATTTTCATTAATTAATATTGTGTTTGTTTATTCTAAGGGAATAAACCATATCGTTATGTTTTCATGTTTGTTTCATTGCAGAATAAACCACATATTCATAAAATATCCTTTGTTAATTTATCACAAAAACTACATAACTATCTTCATCAGTGAATTAAATTTTTTATGTTTGTTTATTTCTAATGGAATATAAATCATATTTTCATGCCAAGTGATAATATCTAATGGAATGGAAGCCATGTATTCGAGGCTCGACATTGTGGAATTTGCAACACTTGTAATGTCATTTAAACAGAGAATGCATCTCTATAAATACATATACCATTTCGTATTATCAGATTATAAAATTAAAATTTACTGATCAAATTTATCTTTGACATTGTGTTTCTTTTTAGGCTTTTGTAATCTCAGTCTAGTATTTTTTGTATTTAAACATATTTTATTGAAACATAATCAATAGGATTGGACACAAGTTTTACCAACTTAGAATTGTCCTCTCCAACACAAACAAAATGACATATACATATACACGTGATGTACAACCAACAAATGTACAATACAAAAAAAGTGCAGGGAAATAAGAAAAGAGTGGGAGGGGGGGTGCAAAGAAAGAAAGGAAAGGGGTTGTAATAGATACAGAATGGTTACGCTGGGTATTCATAAAAATCTTTTCGATTTTTTAATATATTTGTGTACGGCTTTAACTATGTTCATATTATTTTGTTGTCCCAAGTTTGAGTCCCCAAATAGAATTATGTCAAGGTCTATTGTTCCTTTGTTATTTCTTATAGTGTGAAATAATTCTAATCTTATTTCAGCATAATTCTTACAATACAAAAAAAAGTGGTCAGTGTTTTCATTGGTATATCCACAAGAACAATGAGTGTTATCTGAAAGCCTGACTTTGAACAGGTCTGACTTAAGGAGACTCACATTGTGTCTCATTCTAGTTAAAATTGAGTTTATTTTCTTTTCACCAAAAGAAAAATATTTTGGAGGAGATTCACATTTAAGAAGTCTTTTTTTGAAAGCATTTACAGTTTCAAGGTTTCTGATTTCAGTCTAGTTTATGTTCTATCCTCTTTACCCTGTAAATACCGGGTCTGCGTGCATTCAAGCGAGAATTTCACACCTGACATGCACTAAATAAACAAAGGGACTTAATTTGTATGCATTAGATAAACAAGGCCTTTCATTTGACCAAATTTTATTCGGTGTATATGTATCAGAAAGCGTATTTCACGATCTTTACTTGGGCTATTCATTCAATTATTTTTAAAAATATCTGTACAAAAAGGGCATGACGCCTTATAAAAAGAACATTGCGCCACATGAAAATGACATGCCGCTGCGCCATGCTTAATCCTCAAGGAAAAAACTACTTCTATGGTTCAGTGTAGAATGAAAACTGGCAGATAATAATTGAGAGAAACCGCGATTCGAAGATTGCAGCCATGGCCGGAACCAAACTTACAGTAAAATCCGGAACCAATATTATGAATTTAAGGTTCCGGCCGGAACGTGAAGTATCCGGAACGTAAATTATGCGACACCGGTAAAATCGTAGACAATTTTTCTAGAGTGAAAAATAATCAACGCTGCTCTCTAAAATTTTCACAACTCATTAGCATATAATTTCACAAGATACATTTAGCTAATTTCATATCGATATATGCTCAGATAAGAAAAAGGTGGCATTTTATGTTTCATACATTGTATTGTCTTACGTACGGCGCACAAAAATTCTTGGTCCTGTACTTTACCGAATAAAAAAAATGCATATGCCCCATGCTCATTTTGTGTGAAAAAGCAAAATTAATAATTATATACATAAATGTAGGACTACAAAGTACGATTGTCACTCCAAAGTACGCTGGTCCCGCAAAAAGAGATGGTCTGCGCCGAACCCAATATGGTTTGACACGCCGAAGTCTGATGGTTCATGTACTAGTATAAACCACGAAGTCTTTCGAAGTAAATTCTGATAATTACAATTTATTAGATTTCTAACCTAAACCGACATATGTGTTGCACAATTATGAAATGAGTATATATAGTAACTACTTGCCATGTCAAATACAAATTAAAAATCTGGTTTTAATTTAATGTGTGACTTTTTAAGGAAAACAAATTGCATTATTTAGCGTTTCAATTTGAATAAGCACATATAACACGATAAAACATTACCGCTCTTTCAATTGTATCTGTAATTCTGTATTTTTTTTATATTCCCATGAATTTCTTTAATGTTTTCTTAATAAATATGGTAATGCAAAAATATACAAAATTCACAATTTGATCACGCGACCTTTTTTTTTTTTTTTTTTTTTTTTTTTTTTTTTTTTTTTTGATTTACATGTACATGATTATTATGGTCAGTGGGAAGAAATTACTACACTGAAAATAATTTATTTCTTCTTAAGACAGATAGTCTTGAATTTATTGACCTCAAATGTACGAGATTATACCGGAAGAAAATAATAGCGTCTTAGAAACAAAATCCTATTATAGTAATAACACGTTGATTACCAACAGGAATAAAAAAATATCTTTATATCTGCCGGATATTTTTTTTTTTATAAAAACATTTTTAGCTGAATTATTTACATAATGAAACTGATTGCATGCATTTTAAAATATAAAATTTTATTTATTTTTATTTATTTATTTATTTATTTATTTATTTATTTATTTATTTATTTTTACATTTTCTACTTTATAAAAAATATTTCGCGAATTTTAATTATCGGTGGATTTTCATGAATATTCCTACAAATGACTTTAAAATTGCAAAGAAAAATGTCATTGGTCTATTTTGATAGTTTGCAATTTATTAAAACAAAGAGGGAAAATGCAAATCATGCTAAAATTATTAAATAAGCAAAGCGCACGTCATATTTACAAAGTATATTGAACTTTTTATTCACTAATACATTGGATATATTTTGAACAAAGGTATATACAGTGTAGTTCTGGATATGACTAGCTATGTTTATCTTTTTAGGGAGATGTGGTCTTTGTGAAGGAGATCAAAGTAAAGGGATTTGAAATAAAAGGCAAACTCCTGTCATATATACGTACGGTAAGCATTACAAAATAATTCAAAATCAACATATCTAAATCATGCAGAGGTCCACGGGCTCTAGCGCTCACCTGAATCACATATTGTACCATTTTGTGAGACATTTCTTTTCTATTTCTTCTATGTCTTTATAAATCCTGTATACGCATGTAATACATTATAAACCCATCCCGAGGAACACTATTCTTGACCTGTGGCCAAGACTTGAAAAAGAAATACTAGTTATTGATTTCCCTAAACGAGGATACTTATCAAATACTTAAATCATAAGAATCATGGCTTTTTAGAGAACAAGATCTTTTTAAATATATTTTCTTATTATTGTTATGTAAAGTATTGACCTTCAGTTCGGCTTCATTTTGCCTGGGGATACATGTAACAATGAAAGGGAACACGAACCTACATTAGGGCAATTAATTTCTTTCACCTATAATTACTTTGAGGTGAGATGGGTTGAAATTAGCCAAAGGCTTCTGGAGAAGTCGGGAAATGCCGAAAGGGCAAGTTCAAGCTCAATTTATTCACCCAAACCAAAATATTGGTACATGGGGTACATTAATAACATATATACATTATATACAAAACTGGTCAGAGGTACATAACATGACAGAAGATTGAGGAAATAAATAAATAATATAAGAGGGGAAAATATATCAAGGAGGACAGACAGCATCATTAATTTTTAAGATAAACATACATAGTTTTTTATGCCCCCGTATCAAAGATTCGGGGGTACATATTTTTTGCCCTGTCCGTCCGTCTGTCTGTCTGTTTATCTGTTTGTCCGCAGAAACTTTAACATTGCCCATAACTTTTGATTGGTTGGAGCTATGGCTTTCATATTTCACATGTGTATTTCTTGTGACAAGACCTTCTTTGGGTACCACCATATTTGACCTTGACCTAGGAGTTTGACCTAGTTTTACAAAATTTTACCCAACTTTAACCTTGGCCATAACTTTTGAACAGTTGGAGTTAAGGCTTTCATACTTCACATGTGTAATCCTTTCAACAAGACCTTCCTTTGGATACCAACAACTTTGACCCTTTGATCTTGACCTTGGAGTTTGATCTTCTTTTGAAAAACTTTAACATTGGCCATAACTTTTGAACGGTTGGTGCTAAACCTTTCTTTTATACTTCACATACATAATCCTTGTGACAAGATCTTCCTTTGGATACCAATAACTTTAACCCTTTGACCTTGATCTTGGAGATTGACCTACTTTTGAAAAACTTTAGCCTTGGCCATTACTTTTGAACAATTGGTGCTAGGGCTTTCATACCTCACATATGTAATCCTTGTGACAAGTCCTTCCTTTGGATACCAACAACTTTGCCCTTTGACCTTGACCTTGGATGTTGACCTACTTTTTAAAAACTTTAACCTTGGCCATAACTTTCGAACGATTGGTGCTAGGGCTTTCGTACTTCACATATGTAACCCTTGTGACAAGATCTCCTTTGGATACCAACAATTGTAATCCATTGACCTTGACCTTGGAGTTTGACGTACTTTTGGAAAACTTAAACCTTTGTAAAAACTTTTGAACGATTGCTGCTTCAGCTTTCATATTTCATCAGTATATTTCTTGTGAGAAGACCTTTCCTTAGGCACCATTATTTTTTTTTTCCATTTGACCTTGATGTTTGACTTACTTTTGAAAAACTTTAACTTTTTCCATATCTTTTCAATGATCGCTGCTAGGGCTGTCATATTTCACAGGTATATTCCTCGAGACAAGACCTTACTTAGGGTACCAACATATTTGATTTGCATTTGAGAAAGTTTAACCTCTGCTATAAGTTGCCATACGGGGGCATCAGTGTTTCACAAACATATCTTGTTCAGCATTCTTTCGCTTTGAGTAGACATTAGTTCCATGAATTTAATAACATTCGGTCTGTGAGAATAATAATTACCCAAGTAATTTTTTCTTACATTAGCTAAAGTTTTACGTTCTAAGATATAATGAAATTCATCTGCAGTTTGAGTATTATTACAAAGTGTACATATTCTATCACACAGTGGTATACCATACCATCTTCCAGTCTCCCTGGTAGATGATGATTTGCGGTACGAAATTTTATAAATATTTTTCTAGATTTAGGAGATAACTTATCAATGTAATTTTCAAATCCAAATTTTTGTTTAAATATTCTGTAAACCTGTCCTTTTGAGGAATTATTTACATCACTAGACCATTTTTGAATAAATTGATCTTGTAATATTTGTTTTACAGTAGCAGTTATACATTTGTAATTCATATTGACACCCTGTTCGTACCATACATTCGATAAACCACACATATTACATATTTTCTGTACGCAATCTAACCATAGGTTTGTTAAGTTTCGAACACAGTACAATTTAAACATATGTTTGTATAAAACATTTACAATTTTATTTTGAGGGCCTGAAAAAAGCTTTGCCCAATATGAAATCATTCTACAATATACCGATATATACAGAGGAAAGCGACCTGTTTCACCATAGAGATCAAGTACGATGGCATGGAACTTTTCAAATTAAATACATGCTTTAAAAACTTCAAGTGCAAACGTTCAATAATTTCAAGATTTTCATATCCCCATTCCGTCATACAGTATCAAACGCTTGTTTAAAGTCAACGAAGGCACAGAATAATTTTTTTTCTTTCTTTGCATTAAAATATTTGATAGAAACTGTAATGTCAAAATATAATCTAGTGTAGTATAGTTTTTCCTGAATCCCGATTGATTTTCTTTCAATTTATCAATTTCATTTGCAAGGACAATACAGGTTGAGGGACAAATCATTTAGCAACAAATAAAAAAGTGATATAAAAACCAATCACTAATACCGGTATCTTTTTGACAAGAGTGTGTGTGTGTCACTCAGTATGTATTTTTTTTTTATTTGTTTTGATTTTAGTTTTTCTTTTTCTTTGTTTTATAATTTCTTTAAGTAAGTTCAAGTACTTTTAAGTTAAAGTTGTTGGTTTTTTTTTTTTTTTTTTTTTTTTTTTTTTTGGTTTTTTTGTTTTTGTTTTTGTTTGTTTGTTTTTTGAGTGAGAAAACATCAGAATACCAGAAGTTTGTCACTCCTTTATTTGTCTAATAGAGTAACAATTCTATACTGACAGACCGTATTTCCCAAGTAAATATATTATAAAGAAACACATCACCAAAACTGATTAAAACACTTTAATTCCCCAAATAAAGCAAAGACAGGGAATGAAAAGAGTGACATCTAAAAATAGCTCCTATAAACGACAATAAAAATTTATTATGAGTTTAATTCATTGTGTAAAAATCAAAAGATTTATAAAAAGGTAATAAACAATACCTCCCGTCTGAAAAAAAAATCATTGTACATGTATACAAGCAATTTTCCTAAAATGCTTATTTCTCGGTTAAAGGCTCGTTAGTTGATAGAGTAATTCCTATAGCCTTTGACGTTGACTAATTGGTGCTGCTAAATTGCCGAGCGCATATTTGTAATAGAGATTGTCCTCAAAATGGAGAACAAACTGTCTTAAACCACACTCTTTTTCCATTAATATAAAAGCAATGTGCACTGATTTTTGAGACAGTTGAAAATGGATATAGTAGACAAAACGAATCGTGAAGGCCTGGAACCCTGGAAATACCAGAAGTGAGGTCAGCTGCCTAGGAGGAATAAGCATCCCCTATCGACCGGTTACAACCGCCGTCAGCTCTATATATTGATCAGGTAGACGGAGAATTCTGTTGTCAAAATTAATATGAAAACTTTTTTGTTTGTTGTTTAACGTGCCTCTCGAGAATTTTTCACTCATATGGAGACGCCACCACTTGCCGGAGGAGGGCTACATATTTTGACCTATACTCGGCACTTAGGGCCATTGAGCAGTGAGGGATCTTTTTTGTGTCAGCACCTACTGCGACACTGGACCTCGGTTTATACGATCTCATCCGAAGGACCGGTCGCCACGTCCCGCAGTGGGATTCAAATCCTCGGCCTAAGGATCAACTTCTTATTCCGAGACTCTAGAGCAGCCGCTCTAACCACTGCGCCATGCGGGCGATTTATATGAAATCTATGGCCTAACAAATGACTTAACAAATGGTATGATATATATCAGACAAAATACGACCCAAGGAAAGGTTATATTTACAAACAATGTCATTTTGACGGCATCATAACGACATTATGTAGATTTTACGAAAAGCTGACTTGAAACAGGGTTGTTGAAATCCTTTTAGCATCAACTTATTTGTCAGTAGCTTGACTTAAAAATAGATAGTACTAAGAGCATGCTCTTGCGTATCAAATTAGTTGGGAGACACAAACACCATTTTCAGGTGATGTTAGAATATTACTATATAAATAAAGGAAATTGACGATGGAAAAGTTGAAGTCATCCCGTTTGTCACACAGTTTAGTTTTTAGTTGGCCATTATTGTCTATAATAAGGAAAACATCCAAATATGAAACCGATGTGGCAGACTCTGTAGTGGTAGTGTATTTTATTACGAATTCACTGGAATATATCCATAGACTACATAGTTCTAGTCATTGAGGAAGTCTAGTCTTTTTAAAATCAACTTCAGAGTGTTTGTATTTAGAGTTAGAATATTTCTCAACCAATTTTTTTTTTAATTTGCGTGATTAAAACAGCGTGTTCCGAATTCAGACAAAAATCTATGCTTTTTGAATTTGGCTTAATTAATTCGTGAAATTACTTTTGTTCGGACGGCCAGGATGTTTTGATTACGTGTTGTTAACCTGGACAGATAGCCTTACATGTAAGCTAACGAATAACTGATAGTACAAATATACATCGACTCAAAAATATAGCAGTCCTTCAAGTTTGATTGGGGGGTGGGGGCAGAGGGGAGGGGTGGGCTAGCCAAAGATTTGAAATGGAGGGGGAATGGGCTAGCCAATGAAATTAAATCAAGAATAATTAAATCTTAACTCTACCAAGATTCATAACGGTTACAGTAAAAAGTATAACATATCTAAAATAGGTATATACAGTATCCTGAAACACTTCAGACAGTGATTTCTCCTGAAAGTTTAAAAAAAAAATAGCTTTGTTTTTTAGCCCATACATCATTAAAATGGATTTAAGCATTCTAGTCTACAAAATAACGATTTTACTATGTAGAACTCGTTAAGAATGTCATTTCTGTGGTAATATTCAGAAAATTCAATAAACCTCTGAAGCCGATTGGTTATAAAGTAGGCTGCACATTTATCTCCAGATATTGCAGGTAACAAACGTTATTGAGTGACCATAATATGATGTGCTAAGGCAATTTAGATGAATGAATAAAACATTCTGTATCTTTTTTTATCGATATTCCATTAATAAAACCAATTAATGAACTTTATCAGTTGCAAAGGTTAACGAAGGGTTGAAAAAGATCGCGGTACAAAGTGTAATTTTGTTTTTAACCACAATGTCTTCAAGTAGGTCATGTTTGTGTTAAAATAACACGTTATACACTTAATTTTTTTAACACCTTCATGTTCTTTTCTTTTTTTTTATTTTTGTCTCATCACTTTGTGTTAATACTGTGCTTGCCCCTGCATTTTGAGAGTTATATATATATATATATATATATATATATATATATATATATATATATATATATATATATATATATATATATATATAAATTCTTCTATATTGTAACATGTTGTGGCAACATAAAACCAAAAGGTTATTTGGTTCTTTGCCATTTTCTATCTGCGGAAATTGAGCATGCAATCTTTAATAATATGGTGCGTATTAATAAGCTCAAAGTTTGCTTTTATCACGAGATGACATTGTCACCTGCCAAAACTTGGAAAACATTAATATTTCTTCGAACCAGACTGATATTTATTTTCACTTCTATTCTGGGAATTTTTCACAGCTAAATAAACTATAAACACCATTAAACATTAGTTTGCATTTGACTTGGATGAAAATTTTTATACAAAAATAGTATTATATAAACATTTGTACCTAATTCAATACTGTGTAAAGTAACTTGTGTGTAAAGTTATTCAAAATTTAAGTGCTGTTTCTTATCATGTCCTCCCTGTATTTCATTATCAGAATCCATTTAACAGCAATAAGCTGCAGTTACAGAGTATATTTCCTTGTTAAAGGAACCTTTTGAATTAAACATTCGCAGGAAAAGAATGATACATGATTCTCGCAATCGATCCGTGAAATCACTTTCAGTGTACCTCCGCAATCAAGGGTATGGCTTCATCCTACCAAGTTCATCAGAAGTCGAGGCGTGAGCGGATTTTTAATTACATTGTTCATTCTTTAGTTATCCTTCATTTGCAGTTGCGAGACATACGCCATGAAAACGTGAATCCTCTATACGGCTTCCTCATTGATCCTTTGAGGCCGGCTCTCGTCTCAGAGTATTGTAGCCGGGGGAGCCTCTGGGTAAGTGATTGGTCTTGGGACCGTACATGATAAATATACCATGTTTATGTGAGCCATTATTTGGATAGAAAATGACAATACCGCTAGTGTTTCTCTGTACCAGCTGTTGATCAAGAGAGGGGAATTGTGAAAAGATTTCTTCCTTCGCAGTTTTGTCACCCAAGAAATGTTAAGTTGTAATATTCACTCATGAAAATTGACCTTAAGAAAAAATAAATACCGATACTTAATGATGTTCATTAGAATACCACATTTGTAGTTTGTCAACTCATACTTAATTATTGGAATAAAAAAAGAAATGAACATTTTCTTCTGAAATATAACTTCATGAAATTCAATGTATTGCATATCAACAAAATTGAAATTTTGATTATAAATACATGTATGATAAGCATTTTCTGCTCCTATAATGAATAGGCCTAGTTCTTACAATCTGTTTGATACAATTTTTGTATTTTGCATTTTGACAAGACGATCTAATTTCACAGATTAAATGTTTTCTTTCTGTAAATTTCATGAATATAGTACTTGAAAGCAGAAGCAAGATAGTTTAAATTTCTCCCCGTTCGACTATTTTACGTTGAAATTAAGTGAAACGCAACTTTAATGATGTTCAGAATTGTCTATAATGATTTCCCTCCGTGATATCCACTTCTAAGTGTGTCAGATGAAATCGTATCTTAATAAAGCTCAACAATTTCTAATGCATGTAGATAGACTACAATAGCAATGCGAGATTTTGTATTCCGTAGCCAGCAAGATATGTTTATCTTAGATAAGTTGATTATTGGAAACTAGAAACGGATAGTCTCTTATCCTAAAGAATTATTGCTTTCCTACTAGTAGCAGTCTCTAATAACTAGGTTATGTTTTAATTTTCTTTTTTCAAATGAGTAAGCCATCAAGAGTCCAATTGTGAATAAAGTAATGATTCTGAGGATTTGAAATAAAAGAAAGCGCTAAATTACTAAACGTGTTCATGTTTCTTTTTTAAAATTGATTCTTTACTAATACACTCTTTCAAAGGATGTGCTGAAGAACGAAAATATTAAACTAGATTGGGACTTCAAGGTGTCCTTATTGACAGACGCGGTCAGGGTAAGTACAAGCAGCCTCTTCCAGCCAGCAGGGACCGAAATGGTGTCTTATTGCTATATAGTCATAATAGGTCAGCCATTATGATTTCCATATATAATTTTCTCATTCAAAAGATTATATTAAATCATTTTCAACATTCTTTGACAAATATAATTTTTTGAGGTTTAAATGGTGACGTCCCCTACCAATTATCTCGATAACAAGAAAGCTCACAAGTTTTTCTAAATCTATGATAAAAGACTTTTATATCATGTTTAAAACAAGGGAAAACTATATACTTAAACGTATCCAAACCTCTAAGTACAGCACAAATTTGACTTTCAGATAGGTTACCTTTTGCCAGAGGATTTGCGTTGACCATTGTCTTTAATCATTTGAATATCACATCATTGTTGTCAAGTTATGCAGTCTAGCAAGTACTAGTACTGTTGTAAAATTTTCAATTTCTTACTTTTATTTGGTCACCAAAAAATATACATAAAAAAAATTGTACAAATGTTTGTACATTGAATTGTATTCCTGAGGATTTTGTTTTACTGGAGTAAATTGAACAGAGATAGTTAACCCTGTTACCTTATTCTCACTGATAGGCTCCTAGTACGGGTTTTGAATTTTCTACTTTATATTTAAAAGGAGATACTATGGATTTTAATTTATCTGCAATAACAAGGATGTTATGTGTCGTCCAACGTAAATTCAATATTATTGAAGTTAGCAAATCGAAAATCATTTTGATCTATTTCTTTTCTAATTTTTCTGGGAAAAGTGAAATTGGAGATAATGAACATGAATTATGGGTTTACATTACTAATAAAATTTAAGAAAAAATATTAACGTCATTCAAGAAATCTTTGATGATGCCGACAAGAAATTGAATATAATCACTAAGGCTGCAATACTTGACGTAATAAACGCCTTGCATTGAACGATTTTCCTTTATATTGGTGATTTGACATGTGCATTTACTTCTTGTGTTGATTATCTCTGTCACCATTGCTTGTTTTTTTCACTTTTCCCCGACGAAAAATACCACCTTTGAATAAAGCAGTGACAATAATATAAAAGAACCCTTTTCCTTCCCATGTACACATATCTCAAATAAATATTAAAAATATTCTTATAATTTGAATGTATTTAGTCTATATTTCTCTTCCTCGATAGTCCCTTGAATGAAAAGATGACAATTTAAGCTTCCTTTACTGTTCATAAGACGGTGTTGAAGAAATAATGTATGTTATCAAGACGTTAATGTCATGTTCAGAAGCTATATATTGCTTAGCATTGCAGTACTTAGGTCAGTTTTTGCCAAAAGGAACAAAATCATTTATTCATTCATTCATTTTTACAAGTAATTCAATTTCAATTTTCAATAAACATAATTTGAATGAAAATATGGTTGAGATGAAGAATATAATTCAAAAGAATTTCCAATGAGTTACAAATTTAATGAAATATAATGCTTTTTTCTTGTCGACTATGATAAAGAAAATATTAAAGTTTTTCAAATGTTAAGTATTACTAAATAATTTTTGTAAAGGGGCTTAGATTCATCCAAAACTCCACCATTCGGTACCATGGAAATTTGAAGTCCCGGAACTGTGTCATAGATAGTCGTTGGGTGTTGAAACTGTCGGATTTCGGAATGCCAGGGTTTAGAGAATGTGCCAAAATGACGGCCAACTACGATGTAGAACGTGCGTGAAGTTAATTTTTTTTCAATTTAAACGCATGACGATTTAAAGAATAAAGCAAATTGCATGATCAGTTTCCATTTTTATCCTCTGTAAAGAATTTGTAAGAGAAATGTTTAAAGGAAGTGTCAGTTTATTACTGGGTCATGGGAACGTTTAACAGAAATGAGTGCATGCATTTTAAAATGATCTTGATTGCTGATGACTTTGAGATTTTACTCGATAATCTGGTGCAGGGATCACACTGAATACAATAGCTAAGTGGTAATTAGCCTTTCATTGATTTTAGAGTTGCTCTGGACAGCTCCAGAACATTTACGGAACCCATTTCCAGGAATGAAAGGGTCTGAGAAGGGCGATATTTATAGCCTTTCTATTATAACACAGGAAGTTATATTAAGACAGGAACCATATGCAATGCTGGAGTATAAAACAAAAGGTACGATGGTAAATTCATACCAAAATATAAACATATCCATACCGCAATGGGTGTTTGGAAACCACTCCACTGTGGTGAATTTGTATTCTTTACTTACTTTTGTAGAACTAATACAAAGACTGAGGAATCCTCCACCCCTCACCCGTCCAAAAGTGTCCCCTCAAGCAGCGCAGCCACAATACATCATGTTAATGAAACAGTGCTGGTCAGAAAACCCCGACCTCAGACCCTCAATTGAGGACATCTACCAACAGTACAAATCAATTGCTGGGGGAAAGTATGGACTAGCTCTTTTGAAAATAGATCTAAAAAAGAATTTCATTTCAAATAAATGGTAATTCAAATTTCACAATTTTTGTTGACTTATCTTTGGAGATTTTCTGGTTTCAGAAAAACAAACATTGTTGACTCTATGTTTCGGATGTTGGAGAAGTATTCTAATGATTTGGAGGATATAGTGAAAGAACGAACTATTCAGTTAGAGGAGGAAAAGAAAAAGACTGACCTCCTCCTGTTTAGAATGTTACCTCCGTAAGAAATATCTACAGCTAATAAGATAATTAATTATACGTTCAAGGCATTTATTGATGCAAGTAATCTTTTTCCTCCGTTTTTTGTAGGACAGTGGCTGAAAAACTCAAGTTAGGACAGCCTATAGAGGCAGAGGAATTTTCTGAGGTGACAATATACTTCAGCGACATCGTTGGATTTACAACGATATCAGCACGAAGTACACCAATGCAAGTCGTTGACCTTTTAAATGACCTCTACACAATGTTTGATGGTACTATAGACAATTACGATGTCTACAAGGTATCAGCAATATTATGTTTTTTTTATACCTTGAAGAAAAGATCAGTTATATTAGGAAAATGACAATTTTGATCTTCATTTTTTGCTTATTTATGTTTATCAAACATTATTAGATAAAAGTACTACTAAATCGATTCATATTCATTCCATCAATGCATTGACAGGTGGAAACCATCGGAGACGCCTACATGGTCGTTAGTGGTATACCAGTGCCAAATGGAAACCGTCATGCCGGAGAAATCGGTACAATGGCGCTCGATCTTCTTAGTCAGTGCGGGACATTCACTATACGTCACATGCCGGAAGTTCCTTTACGACTGCGTATTGGACTTCACTCTGGTAAAACAAATTTCTGAATTTCTGCAATGAATAGAAAGAACATTTTTGAGTATTCTATTTATTAAATCACCTTTATTTCAACATTAAAATGAACATTATAGGTTAACCTTTTCTTCGCCGGCACTTTTATATTCTGATTGACAACGTGTATACTTGTATACAGTTTCATTAATATATCAATTCTTTAGTTTAAAATATTTTCAGCAACCAAATTGAATTTGAATTACCATACCTATACTGGATTCCTAAACTTCATAAAAATCATTACAAACAAAGATACGTCGTGTGTTCTTGTAAATATTCCTCTAAGCCTCTTTCTTTACTCCTCATTAAAATATTTACAGCAGTTTAGGAGAAACTTCAGGAGTACTGTACAACAACATATTCGAGAAATGGTGTTAATCATAACTCCAAGGAACTTTCAGAAATTTGAAATCAAAAAATTTACCAAATCAGTGGCATTAAAACGTACTAATTTTCAACTCTTTTTTCAACTTTTCACCACGATAAATCAAATACCAGACCTTTTGACTTCAGACAACTGCTTCTTCAATAGAAATGGAACTTGTAAATTTGCATACCTTGTCATTGGTCATCTGCAAACTTATACTGTTAAAAATACTCTGTCTCTACACACAAGTAATCCGAGGCTGATATTAAAAAGATGCTCGAGTTTCTCATTGACAATATCTTTCTGGTGTTCAGATTCCAGGACTTCCAACAATCTGTCATACTCCGTTATATGCAAACCTTTTTTTTGTATTCATATAAAGCAGAATTTTTTATTCTACATGAAAAGAAAAAGTATGTTGTTGTGGCCTTCAATTCGAAATTTAGATGTATCGAGGAAGTTTTATCAATTAACAATATTCAGTTTCATTTCTAAATTGACTCCATGTATCTCGTTAAAAACGATATAAAAGACATCACAGAGTCTGATACATCTGTTTGGATGTAGTTTGAAAATAACGGCTTAACAATTTGTATGAAAGACAAGACACATTCGACCTAATGACAGATTTTACATTGTATTTACAAACAAGGACATTCTATCGATCATAGAATCTGCAAAATATTGACTTTAAACGAGGTTGTTGATATCTTTATATGTTATTTGTCAATAGCCTGCCCGTTTTAGAAATTGTTCGTATGGAAAAACATGCTTTTGCCTACCGAATCAATTGGGAGACACAGGTGATAATGGTATATTGTTATATAAATAAGGGAAGTTGACGATAGAAAAGTTGAAGTCATCACGTTTATCATATTTAGTTGTCACACGGAGGGTGTGACCGATCCGCAAGGGATGCTTACTCCTCCATGGTACCTGGTCCCACTAATGTTTTCAGAAGCCTGTGTTGGTTTTCTTCAGAATTTGTATAGTTTAAATGGACTTTGAGAGCGATCACTGTTTAGTATCTTCCCATTTTATTAATGAACGATTATCTTGAAATTCAGAATACAGTATTTCTCTTTAATTTATTAAGGGCCATGTGTGGCAGGAGTTGTCGGACTTACTATGCCAAGATACTGTCTCTTCGGAGACACAGTTAATACAGCTTCCAGAATGGAGTCTACTGGTGCAGGTAAGTTGTAGAAGTATGTAAACTTTAGGAGACCAACTTCAGTCACCATCTAGTTTTAAGTACTATGATAATCAAAATAATTAACTGAGGTCTATCAGAGTTGTTCTATTTGTATCTAAGCATTTAGGATACATATCAGTCAGACGACAAAAGTTGTTCTTGATGGACTTGGAGGATATGGGATAGACTACCGAGGCGAGGTGGAATTAAAGGTACAATCTCGTTTTATACCTGTATGATAACTGTATTGGAAAACAGTGTTAGAAATTTTTATGCAACATGTTCATAAACCCATGAATAAACAGAAACATCAATTTATAGGGTAAAGGCATGGCCAAGACGTACTGGTTGATCGGAAAAGATGGATTTACGAAACCTCTTCCAGAGCCCCCGCCATTAAATGAGTAAGTCTAGATCTAGATTTAATTCACAACAACTTCACTAAAATCAATTAGGTCTAGGTGACAGAGATTTGTCCATGTTTCAGTTTGTAAGAATTATAGGAGTGTTTGCATAAATCTCATAAATGTTATAAGGAAATATATATCAAATATTTTCCTATTCTGAATAATTCATATATAAACTAATTTTGATAAAGCAAAATATCTTAAAGCTTCAAATTATCTACTATATAATATGTACAGTAAATAAAATTAAAACAAGCCAATTCAAATTTTTCTGTTATCGGTTTTATGCTTCCTAGAAATCCGCGCAATATCTGGATACCAATCAAACAAATCTGTTATTCTTCCTTCATCAAAATTTTTCTATGTATTTCTTACACGCCACCAGTGGATGTAATCACGGGTAAGTGAAGTTACTTAACTTTATTCATATCACTAAGTTTCAATCTTTTCAAAAATATTCTTTATATTACATACATGTATTTGTTTTTTAAAATTATAGACTAGAATCAATACTAAATCCCGTTGCATCCTCGACGGCGGACCTAAAAGACAGCACTGCTTCTAGCGAAAATGGTGGTCTTAGGAATATATCTCCCTCTAAAGATCAGAAAGTTCCTCACAAAGAACGAAATGGTTCAGCAACGAAAGAAAAGCCCGGCAAAACAAAGGGGGTTTCTTATAAAGGAAAGCCTTCCCCAAATGATAATTTCTCCAACATTAACGAGGTTTCTAATATTAAACAAGAAGACCATTCTGAAACTTCTAATTCGCTGGATTACAAACAAGTTGGAAAGGCAGTCAATCATAGCAATTCTCTTTCTTCACACAAGAGAGATAATATGCATGATCATAAGAAAAGTAGCAATTATCGTTTGAATAAGTATTCAGATACGTTGACAGATAGCATCAAGACGGAACCCAGTGCAGTGTCTACGTCAGAACTTCATATGACTGTCCTCACCAAACACGAAGACAAAGTAACAAAAAAGTTATCCCCAGTTGCAGAAGTCTAGAAGATCGACCCGAGTTTGACAATTATTGGTAGGTGATATCAAGGCTCAAATAGAAAAAGCGCGGAATGAGGACCAGTGATCTCAAATCTCTTATGAGGGGTACATGATTAATGATGCTACAAATCGCAGATCGACTGAGAAGAACATTATTTGTCTTACTGAAATTCCTTAATATACATCTTTTTTACGGAGTTATATTTGTGCAAAGTATATTTATGTTGCCTGACTTGATGTTTTAATTTGTCTGCTTTAAAGTTCTTAGTAAGCACGGTTTTTAGAGGGAGAGCTCCTTAAAATGAATTTAGATAAAGTTTTGACATGAAAATATTAATAGATGGTTACTTTGAGCAGATCAAAATGAGGAAAGCATAAAAAAAGCCAATTTCTAAAATAAATTACAATTGTTAGATTTAAACTTTATAAAAATACTCATTTACAATTTTGTCTAGTCATAACAGTAGCAAATTAAACATATCTAATCATATAAATTGCAAACAATCGAATATATATTTAGCTAAAAAAAGTTACACATGTATATATATATATTTATATATAAAGATTTCTCTTTTGTAACAAGGTATGAGAAATGATTTGATGCTGGTTGGCTTAAAACGCAATTAGAAAATGTGTAGATACTAGCCAATTAACTGGTGTTATTATATATACGTTATAAATTCAAGACTTGTGTATTTAGATACTTTTCATAAGCAATGTCACGTGTTAAGAAATATTTTGTTTATTCATCATTCATCTTGAGGAGAAGGATTGTCTTACAAAGTTCTCTTTGAAATGAAGCGTTTTATTTCATTTTTTAAATTTCTACACTTCTTCTTTATTTCAATCTTATCAATATTTGTTAAAAGATAATAGTGGCTTTGATGATGATGAATGATATATATATATATATATATATATATATATATATATATATATATATATATATATATATATATATATATATATATATATATTCTCTATCAAGTATCAAGTAAATTTTGCATAAAAATATTTTTGTATTATAATTATATACGAGCGATCCAATGTGTAGCCGGGTCTTTCATCTTTCTGTTTATATTAGTGTTGAGCATTATTAGAATTGAGCATAATTAGTCTATATACTAACATTGTTATAAATCTCCAACTGTTATCTAAATAAAATATTAAACCCTAAAGAGAAGTTGTTATAATGAGGCATGTTTAAAATTAAATTTTGAATCTCTAATCGAACTTACCACCAGAAAAGTTTCATTTGTTTTCATTGCTGTTAACCGCCGAGATTTGGCTGACATATTGCAGTCTCGGCCTTAAACAATAATCAATCAATCAATCATTGCTTACGAATTCCGGTCATTAAGGAAAGCTTCTTGTCAAGGTCTGACTAAATATTGAACGTATATTTGCATAAATTCCTCTATATTGAGATTTTCAGAGTTTAAAAGTGCATATTTTTCTTTCCTTCTTATATTTGTACAGCTGGACGTGGAAATGGTAAACAATATCTAACAGGGACTATATTTTTACCAAAATAGCAGCGTAGAAAGATATAACATATTTTGCTATTCAAATTTACTACAGAATAAGGATTTTATGTAATATTTCTAAACAATCGGCGTATTAAGGGATGTTCTGAACTAAATAGAATTTTTATCAAAGGGTGTTAAGATTAAGAATACGTGTATATTGAATAAATATGATTTTACACTAAAACTAAAATCTTGTTAGATTTTGTAAGCAATCAATTTATGAACTCATTTGAGTGAAACATCAGTAAAAGCTAATCTCTCTCCCTTTATAAACGGTCAATGTTTTTGTTTTGATATTTGTTTGTATTTCTATCTAACATCTTAATTGTACCTGAAATTAATTAGGATTTAATATATATGAAAAATACCCCACTAAACGTTATAAGAGAGATCTTATAATGTATAGTGAGGTATTTTTGTTTGGAACGATTATTTTGGGGTTTTCACGATTTTTTCCTATGGTACACATGATGAATAAGTGTAATAAATATAATTTGTGAAAAAAAATGTCCAACAAGCCCCGGGGTTGAATATCGGGGGGGGGGGGGTCCTGTCCACAAGTACCTGTGAATATGATTAGCTGAACAAAAAATCCTTAAAGATAAGGAAAAAGATGGTGACCTTGACCTGAGCTTGTTACTAAATTAAGACGGTAAAATTTGATCGTACCAATAATATCACTTAAGTATATTGTCTCCTTGAATCTTTAGTTGTATGCCAGAAGGACATATGACAAAATTGTTTTTATTTACCACAAATTTATCTTCTAATGATAAAGGTGATTTTGTAACTACAAATTTATCTTCTAATGATAAAGGTGATTTTGTAACTTCAAATTTATCTTCTAATGATAAAGGTGATTTTGTAACTTCAAATTTATCTTCTAATGATAAAGGTGATTTTGTAACTACATATTTATCTTCTAATGATAAAAGTGATTTTGTAACTACAAATTTATCTTCCAATGATAAAGGTGATTTGTTAACTACACATTTATTCTCTAATGATAAAGGTGATGTAGTGATTTCATTAATGAATCCTAATTCACCTACTAATGCAAATGATAATTGTAGATTTTTTTTATTATTAGTGTTTACTAAGCAAATCGGAGCTTTCCTCCAATTTTGGAACCAATCATCCATCTTTGTATGCATGATATTAAAAAAAAATACTAGATAATTTTAAAAGAATTAAACATGAAATATGAAGATAACGAAAAGTAATCAAGCTCAAAAGTCCAATGAAACAATATAAATCGGGACAACCTTTATTCAGTCTTAATTCTATTTCGTAGATTTTGAAGAGGAGCTTTGTACCAAGATAATATTATAAATGTCAGCTTGAGTTAGGGCTTCAGGCAGTCGTTTATTTTATTTTTTAATCAATTAATTTATTCATTTATTTTATTTGTTTTGTTTTCCTTTTTTTTTTTGTTTTGTTTGTTTGTTTGTTTGTTTTTGTTGTTGTTGTTGTTTTTTGTTTTAACTGTTTGACAATTTGCAGTCTCTGCATCAAAATGAAAAGTGAATAAGTCAGACATTCTACATTCATGCCAAGGTTTCTCATTGAAGCCTGTTTCTGAGGATGTGTCTAGGCATATATAGCTAGCGGTATTTCAGTACTGTGTTATATTGTGCAGAGGCTTTCATCTTTCCGAAATAAGTAGATAAGAACAAATTATGTTTTATCTTATGGTAATCAAATTAACGAACATTTTACTCGTTATTTTTTACTGTAAGTATCAGGCTTGGGGGTAATGCTAAATGTAATGGTAATGCATTGCAATGCATTACTTGAACTCAAAGTAATGCTAGTAATGTGTAATGCCAAAATATTTGCATTACATGTAATGGTAATGTAATGCATTACTTCCTCAAATCCAGAGTAATGCTGGCATTACATAGCATTATTTTGTATATACGTGTACCTATTTTAAAATGGACATGGAAATTATTGTTTAGATTAAATAACTTTTTAAATGATAGAAATGAATGAAAAAAGTTAACTTGTTTAAATAAAATCTCTGTATCTATTTGCACTATTTACTACTACACTTTATATTCTGTTGAAAGTACAATTACCACACATATTAAATTTTCATACTTAATTTAGATAATATTTAATTTCATAGAATATTTAAAAGGGTTTTTAAGAAATTACTTTTAAAAAATAATTCCGGTTTGAGGTACACTAATTAATGTACACTGTAAACTGATAATTGCTATCTTTTGAATAGAGTATCATCAAAACACACAATGCCTCTATGGTTTAACAATTAAAACAAAGTATTGTTTTGAGAAGGGCTCAAAAACCAATCCCTTTCTCCCGACTATGTTTATAAAACATTAAAAGAGTTGGTCTAGTTTGAGCTGTCATGACGAATCCAAAAGGAATAGAAGACGAGCATTCTACTTTCAGCAGAGCAACAGGAACATGCTGTCAAACCCTTTTCTCAAGTTTGTCAGTGCATTTAATTTTTTTCATAAGGTACTAGATCTAAACAATCGATGTCTTATTGATTTAGATAGTTTTGGGGAGGGGATAAAGTTCCCCAAAATTTAAATTGCTTTATGAAATCAATAATCACACAAAAAGATTGAACTTCTTATGAATAATAAAAAGATATGTAAGTTATATACAGTGTAATAAATACAAGTACTTGAAATCTGTGTTTTAAATATCATATCTTTTAATTATGGATGTTAAATTTAAATTAACATTCTTCAAGTTTAGTTTTGAAGGGAGGTGCATGTTTACGAAAAGCACAAGTTTTGTATTTCTAATTTTTAAAACCCACAAAAGCAATCGTAATGGTAATGCATTACTTTACTAAAGTAATGGTAATGTAATGCATTACTTAAAGAAATTAGAGTAATGGTAATGGTAATTTAATGCCCAAATTGTTGAAGTAAAGGTAATGTAATGCATTACTTTACAATGCAATTCGCCCTAAGCCTGGTAAGTATGCTGTACAGGTACAAATACAGCATGTGAAGACAACAAAAATTGATCGATCTCAAAAATCTTCAAACAATATTAATATAAATCTATGAACGAGGCGTAAAACATGGACCCCCGAAAATTCCAGAGGTGGGATCAGGTGCCTAGGAGGAGTAAGCATCCCCTTCAGACCGGTCACACACGCCTGGAGTATTTTATGAGTATATGTCCTTGTTTCATTAGACTTAAGTAACGTTAACACTATAGGTTCAGAATACTCAGCGCCACATCAGCGATTTTTGAAGTGAAGGGGAAAATCACATTTGAGGGGGAAACTTATACTTCTGAAGTTTTCAGTAACACCCCCCCCCCCTCCCCCTGCTTTCAAATACTTTATACTTTCATTTTATATTAACTCTTATTTTGAACCAAACTCAAGGGAGCGACACTAGACAGCAGTATTAAACATGTTGTAGACTTTTCTCTCCCCTGTTTCAGTGACATGAAAGCTAATTTGATGTGGTTCGACGCACGGCATCAGTTAACAGCTAACCATTTATATAGCAAGTTTTGACATATAAACCATTATTTTACAGCAAGAATACATTATCATAGCGTGAATTTTCCTATTTAATGGAGAATGATAAACGAAATTCGTTTCTGTTGACACAGCAAACCATGATGGATGACTGTAATCTGTGAATGACTGCATCGTCTTCCAATAACATTGATCATCAATTAAGACAAATTGGCCGACAGTGCCTGCAAAATACAATACATCATTTCTACATGGACAAACAAAACCAAGCCTTTCATAACAAAAACCAGTTCTTTTAGGCACAGAAGTCCGAGTTCTCACAGAAAGATATTCTGGATTTCTGTCTTCTAACCTTAATGTGTTCAAAGCTTTGATCAAAGCGAGAGTGATTGGGGGTTTGCCTACAAATTGGCAAGCAACTTTTCAAATAAAGTTGATTTAATTTCCTAACTGACCAGTTAGCAATAATGACACAGGAATTTTGA